CTTCCAGCCATGAGAACTCTCTGCCAGGTGCCCATATCAAGCAGTGCCATGTTCAGAACAACATCAAACATCCAGAACCTATTATAGTTGAAGAGAGCAGGTGCAACAGAAGAAACTGTAAGAGATTCGGGTTCTCAGAATGAGAATTTCATTGAAACCTCATCAGCTTCTCTTGGAGTGGATACTTTGATATTCCCTTGCCTATTCCATTGTGAGGTGGGGGGATGTGGGGTTTTTTGTTTTTTGCTTTTGGGTTTTAAGTCATCTGGCAGATGCTGCACACTAGATCCAACAAAAGCTGTACAAACAGCTCTTAAGAAACAAAGTTGTGTCCTTCATCAATTGAATTAATTCATAGGCATTGTTCACAGATTAGCAGCCAGGAACATCTCATGCCTTTGTAAAGAGATGAGCGTTTTCTAAGCTTACCAAAAGATGAATGGCAGGCCCATGAATCTCTAAATACAGATCAGTGTTTTGATTTCATAAATCCTGAAGATAAGGGTGGAGCTATTGTCACCATCATTTTGGATAAGTACGCTATCAGCAGGAAGCCTTCAAACAGCTATGCCTTAGCATCTGTTTGGTTCAACATCTGTTAAAGAACTCATGTACAAATTGTGTTCTTATCGTCATTTATCATATGAAGTATTTCCTACAATCCATTTGGTGGGCTTGCTCAAGAAAATTACTGTAATTCATATCAAGTTTCTCTGCATTGCATAAACACTACCTGAAGTGCATTATACACTTTTGGCAATAGATACACAGAGGGTTCATCACAATTTGCTTTTGTGCAGCATTTCTAGGCACAGGTCTGGCCTTAAACTTACCTGTCTGAGCACTTTTTTGTTTGGCTTTTTGTTGTTGTTCCAGTGCTTTCCCCACTATATCCTGCTCTTTACTGCTGAATCAGAACAAACAGCAAAACCTGAACTGCTGTTTGTTCTGAGTCAACATTAAGGAGCAGGTTTTCCTGGGGAAAGTGATGGGGCAAAACAGACTGGGAAAGCATTGACAGAGACTGGGAAAGCATAGACCTATGCCTAGAAAGAGTGGGGCAAAAGCTAAGCGTGGATCAGTCCAGAGTTGGAAAAAATGAAGCAGCTATCAGTTCCAAATCCCAAGGAAGGGAAGACCACACACACACAGCCTGATCTACCCTTATCTCGGAGCCAGTCCATCACAAGGAAGAAGAAGGAGTACATAGTAAGATAAGTCAGTTAACATGTATATTAAACAGCTTACCATTCTAAATGGAAGTTCTGTTCGTAATCCAGCTAAGCCTGGAGCCTTACCCAGCACCAGCTCTTTATTGAATTAGCTGACTTCCTCTTTGTCTGACCATATATTTGGTAATGCTCTAATCGCTTCACTAAATTGTGGCAGTTTTACTGTATTTTTTTTTAATTAAATGTATATCTGACTTACCAGCAGAATTCTTAAAGGAGAAATGGATGAACAATTTATTACAGATGATATATTTCTTCACTTTAGCCATGCCTCTGGGTAGAATTAATCTCCTGATTTTTCTTTAGCAGGCTTTCTCTGTTAGTTAGTCTAATTTACTACTTTATTATGAAACATTTTATTCAGGAAATTCTGAATTCTTATTTTTTACCAGGATCACTCCCACTATATGTATGGATTCCCTGAGCATTAACATCAGCTGAAAGAGCAGGTTGTGTGGCAAGTGGCAAAGGGAGCACTTATTGAAGTGGGACAAAATGGCCTCTTTATATGTTCACCCTCCTAGTGCCTTGGATTCTGCCATTGTTGCAGTTCCAGTTCAGGTGGTACCCTCATGGGATGGGTATTGAAGGTGCTGTGCTTGTGGTCTGCAAGCTCTCAGGCTTCTGTCTGGACTCTGCCAATGTCTTCACCAGGTATAGCAACCTTGGGCACTCCTCAGTCTCTGCTGATTAGCTTCTAAGCTCCTTCAATAGCTGTTTATTTGGGATACACACCCACCCTTCACACACCATCTTCAGCTCCAGCCAGTGATTTCAGCTCTTTCAGGGTCCCCAAGCTTCCTCAGGCCACATTGTCCTTTGCCTGGGTTCCTTGTTCTAGCTGCTTCCTCCCATGTTGACTGTCTTCTTCACCAGTCCTACACCCTCAGATCTGACACTGACTGTGATCTGAGACCTGTCTTTTATGCTCCAGATGGGTCTCCCTCAAGCCAATAATTGTAGGAATTTCTACCCCTTCACCAGGTCACAACTCTGGTCCAATGGGATGAGGCAGAATGTCCTCTGTATTGTCCAATGAAAACTCACCAAACTTCCATACACTGTGTCTATAAAAATATTCATATCCTTATTTTGACAGGATGCAATTGGCAATTAAATTGACTTTCCAGTCACCTGTAATACTATTGTGGCTACATTGTACCTCTTAAAGCTTCTCAAGCAAGTCACTCAAGAAGAGGCTAAAACAAGGCTGGTGAAGAGTGTAGGCAAAGGAGGACAACCCAAGAGATGCAAAGAGATGCCTGAAGGACCACATTTGCCCCACAAGCCCGATGTTCCACACCTCTGCATTAACAACACAAAAACCCCGTGATGGTTGCTTAGCTGCCATGTTTTTATTCTAAGAAAGTATGTTTAGGAATTCATGTTTATTTCTTAATAATAAGAGTGTGATGTTGCTAATGTCCAGGTTGTGGGTTCAATCCCTGTAAGGGCCAGCTGCATATTCCTGCATTGTGGGGTGTTGGAGTAGATGACCCTCAGGATCCCTTCCAACTCTGTGCTCCTATGACCTGAAATACTTTGTGGTCTTGTTTCTACCCTTGGCCATTATGAGAAAGAATTAGATAATATAATGAAAGAGTAGTTGGAAAAGACAAAGGTATTCAACACAAATTTTCATGATTGCAAAACAACTTTTTCAAGAGGCTGAAATCAGGACAACATCTCAGGTTGTGTGTGTGTGTGTGTGTGTGTGTGTGTGTGTATTATATCTATATCTATCTGTATATCTGTATCTGTATCTTGTGAACCCTATAGCAGTGGAAGAAGAACTGACACAATGCATGTGTTACTGTCAGTAGATCAGTGGCCATATTCAAACTTAGGTTGTAATTTCAAGCAGGTTTTTTTTCTTGTCAGTATGTGAACATAGAATAAATATCTAGTTGGCCTCACCTACTTTAAACCTCTCAATAAGCCAAACAAAGATTCTGTTGTGGATCTATTTGCATTTTCCACCTATATACAAGCTATTGCTTCAGTGATTCTGTTTAATTCTAGATTTCTTCAATAATTGTCTGTATTCTCTGGCTGAAAGGATACCATCTCCAAAGGTTTTTCTGAATTCATCTTACTTTGATCACATCTTAACATATGCCTAAAGAGTTTTAACTGTCAGTATACTAATTTAACAGATAACAAATTAATTTTTCTTGTAGCTATCAAGGGAACGCTTTTTCTTGGTACTTAAAAATCCTCATATCAATAGTTAAGAAGGCAATCTTATACACACTTGCCTGGGAGTAAGTCCCATTGAATTCATTGCAGCATACTTCTGAGTAGTCATGTGTACGATCACACTGTTATTCCCATTTCATCTTTAGTGTGCTTCTTTTTGATTCATGTGTCTGAGGTTTAATTTTAGATTCAACCAGTGCACAATAAAGCTGAAATATTTTTAAATTACCAATATTGGAAATACATTCATGAGTAAGCAAAATCATGACCGTGTTCATCTTCGTCTGTGTGTCTGAAATGCACATTGCCAAGCGCAATGTGCATTCCAGACAGGAAATAAGCACCTGCCTGAGCACAGCACACTTTTGTGAATAGATGTTGATCTCAAGTAAGTCACATTAGAATGAATTGTGATTGTTTAGTATTAGTGCTTGGTTGATTACTGCCACTGTGCATCTAAGCAGAGAATTGGAAAGAATAGACTCTCTTGAATAAAAACAAACCAAAATAAAAACAAGAAAACAAACTCACTGCATTTCTGGAATTTTATCTACTCAAAATACATAGCTCCATAATACAATTAAGTAATTTAAATCACAGTACCCAGAATAGTCAACAAGAAAAAGCTTGAAAACAATACAGATAAATTTTATCACTTCTGGAAACCTGAGGAGAAGATAATGCTCTTGTGCCCTGGTCTCGTGGGTTTCTGAGAGATACCTGGTTAGCCACCATGAGATCAGGGTGCTGGACTAGATAATCCTTTGACCTGATCCAGCAGGCTTTTCTTATGCACCATAAAAATGTATGACACTCATATATGATTAAAGAACACCCCAAAACCTGTGTACAATAAGTTGTTCATCCATGAAATATGGGGAAGAATGCCGGCAGCCCAGAGCTGGGTTCTGTTAACTCACTTTCAAGTTGCCTATTTAACTAATGATGTGGACATGTTTTCCCCACAACTACAAGGGTCGCTCATTAAATATTTCCCCTGTACTTGAAAGGGCGCACCCCACGGGAGACATTCAATGAGATGAAAGGGACATATGGGGAGGATGCCCCATTGTATGATGTAGCTAAGCACTGGCATCATCAGTTCAAGTGTAGACGGACTTCAGTGGAAATGGCTCCCATTCCTGGGTGACCACAGCCACCATCGACGAAGACACCATCCGGCAAGTGGAGGCCGGCATTTTGGAGGATCACTGCATAACTGTTTGCCAGCTAGCTGCAGATGTCAAGATCAGTGTGGGCTCTGTAGAAAAAAATCATCCATGACAATTTCCACATGAGGTGGGTTCCACATGATGGGTTCCCTGGCTCCACATGTGGGTTCCCTGGCTCCTGATGTCTTTCCAGAGGCAGGAATGAGTCACATGCTCATGGTCTCTCTTGGCCATGTGTCACCAAAGCCATGATGACTTCTTTGCCAGACTAATTACTCTGGACGAAACATGGGCCCATCATTATGACCCAGAGACTAGATCCCAGTCCAAACAATGGAAGCACTCTGCCTCACCACCTTCCAAGAAAGCACATGTCCAACTGTCAGTAGGCAAGGTTATGCTCACGGTCTTTTGGGACCAGTATGGAGTAGTGATGATGGATTTCCTGGCAAAGGGTACCACAATTACCGGGACATACTTTGCTTCATTGCTGCAGAAATTGTGGAAGGCCATCAAGATCGAGAGGCATGGTATGCTGACCAAAGTTGTCAACATCCTGCAGGATAATGCCCCGGTTCACAACTTGCATGTTGCTCAGTCAGAAGCACGGTCCTGTGCCTATGAAATCTTTCCTCGCCCCCTTTATTCTCCTGACCTTGCACCATTGGACTACCACCTCTTTCCAACCATGAAATTTTTGAAGGGCAAGCTTTTTCCAGACGAGGAAATGCTGATTTCTGAGGTTAAGTCATGGCTTCTGGTGCAACCTGCCGACTTCTACAGACGAGGTCTCCACAGCTGCATAAAGCGATGGGAGAAGTGTGTGACTTTTGCTGGTAGCTCTGTGGAGAAGGACGAATAACTGTGCCCAGTTTCGTTTGTCTCTGTCCATGGGAAGTACACCAGGGAAAATCTTTAATGAACACCCCTCGTACCTTTGCATTGTATATTTTTAGATCAATTGTGGTTGAATTATGTTTTTATATTGGCCTTCATTTGGTTTTTAGATTGTTAACCACCTTTCTGACCTTCATATGGAACAGGGATGCCAATTTGAATAAAATATTGGGGGAAGGTAAGCCTCGTCCCACATAATTGATCACAAGATGTGGTGTGCCCACACCATTTGAATGGCAGTTGCTCTACCACTGAGGTATGGAACTCCCCTAAAGTGGAATACAAACACGCACACACACACAACCTTCCTAAATCTGGATGCAACTTACACACACTATCAAACAGCAGTGCTCTTTAGGGAGGTATGAACTATCCCTGCCTTCCTCCATTCATCTCAATATAAACATGAAAGAACTATTCTCTCTTGGTCTGCTAATGCATTCCTGAGTGGACAATGCTTTCTGCAGCAAGCAATGTCAAAGAGTTTGCCAGCTTAAGGGCTTTTTTTTATTAGCTTGTGACATTATTGAGATAAATGTAATTTTCTTAATACAAAGTAATATTTTGCATGCCTCTGAGTGGGTGGGATTCATTTGAGAAATAATGAACTTGTCTGATTTGATTAACAATCCAACAATATCAGTTGCAGTAATCTCGCCACTCACCATTCACCACTTTCAGACAAACAAGGCAAATTAAATGCTTTGGTAGCATAACAAAGCCAATATCTACATGGAAAAACCCATGACAATGGATAATTATTTCAACAATGCACTGAAAGCAATCAGGTTACGCAAAAACCCATTTGCCTACAAGTTGTAGAAAAATTACATTCAATCCCAATTAAAAGAACCACTGTAGTGACTTGTTTCTCCCTGATCCCATTTTTATTTTCATTAATAAATACAATTTATGTAGCTCTAGAGTTCATAAACTGTGTCATAGAGAGGCTCCATAAATCAAGATTAAAACTATTTGATTAAAGCTTTCCAAGATTAAAGCTACTCTCCTCCCAATAGTCTGGGAGCAAGTACTTTTAAAGTGGAAGTGAAGATTCATTGGCCTACTGTAAGTTTCCTGGAATGAGCTGTGCAGAATATACGGAACATTTAAAAAAAAAAAATAAGTAAGAATTATATTTTACTCATTGGTGCAAAGCTATGATGTCTGCTTATGCATTACCAGAAAAGCAGAACGTTGCCACACACAAAAAGAGGACAAAGGAGAAGATGGTTGTGCATACAATTTTTGTATGCTAATTTATATACAGAGAGATGTACATTTAGAAATGTCTATTATAGGTTTACAAGGGACGCGGGTGGCGCTGTGGGTTAAACCACAGAGCCTAGGACTTGCCGATCAGAAGGTCGGCGGTTCGAATCCCTGCGACGGAGTGAGCTCCCGTTGCTCGGTCCCTGCTCCTGCCAACCTAGCAGTTTGAAAGCACGTCAAAGTGCAAGTAGATAAATAGGTACCTTTCTGGCGGGAAGGTAAACGGTGTTTCCGTGCACTGCTCTGGTTTGCCAGAAGCGGCTTAGTCATGCTGGCCCCATGACCCGGAAGCTGTACGCCGGCTCCCTTGGCCAATAAAGCGAGATGAGCGCCGCAACCCCAGAGTCGGTCACAACTGGACATAATGGTCAGGGGTCCCTTTACCTTTACTATTATAGGTTTATATAGATACTATTATCCATAAAACTGTTCCTATAAGTTAAATTGAAATACAGTACATCTCACCATAGTGGGGAAGACAGGCCAGGTGACCTCAGTTTAATCTCCAAGTGCAAACTTTTGATGCCCTGAAGGTGAGAGGAACATTTATGCCTCTCCAGCAGACAACAGGATACACTCACCCTTTCAGTTCTAAGAACATGAAATGAAAACAGCAGTGACTTTGTAAAGGTTAAGGGTCCCTTGGCCTTGTGTTTCAACTTCGACCTCATTGTAGTGCTGTCGCTTAGCGCCATTTACTGCTGTTTCCTGAAGCCATGGAATTGCTTTTCTGCATCGACTGTTCATTTTGTGATTGCTAGTTTTACCTATTGTGTTTTATTTATAATGCTCATGCTTGTTTTAATCTTGTGAGCAACTTCAAATTAATTTTTGGATAAAGAAGAGTGGGATATAAAGATAAGTAAATAAATAAATAAATATAGGGTTGTTTTCTATATAACAAAAACAACAGCAGAAATTAATAAACTTATTAAAAATGCACAGCTCTATGCACACAGTTCTATGTACATATCTAAGCAACAAGTATTTATATTTCAAGGGACACAATCTGCTTGGATCCAGAGAAGTTTCCTTGGATGGAAAAAGATTCCATCCATTCCAAATTTTAGATGTCTTTTAAGATTATCTTGTATCAACAGGCCTTTTCAGTTCATTTAATTTTATGTGATTGGCCAGTTCTTTATAAAGTTCCAATTTTTTTTTATTTTTCTGATGTTTACTATGATTTTTTATTTGCTGTATAGCACTTAGATATTTTTTATACAAGCTCGTGGTATAATTTTCTTTTATATAAATGCAAATAATTTATCTGAGGAAAATATATGAACAAGTTTCCTTTTCCTTTGCTTTAGACAATGAGTGAGGCAAAACAAAATTCCTAGTAAACTATAGCTAACATCTTTACCAGTCTGACTTTCATATTACTTTACTGTAACACACTATGGGGGGGGGGAAGCATTTTTTTGTTCCGTATTTGGGACATGTCACTGAAAAAAGAGCAGCAAATATTTCTGTGTATCCAGATCCCTGAAGCGAGAGTAACAAGGATGATTATTTGCATCACTGTTTGGCTGCCAAAACTGTTCAAGGAGAAAATGGGTAGTATAGCATTTAAAAAGCCATATATGTGAAAGGGAAGGAGGGAAAAACACATTTGGAAGATGGCAAGCATCATAGCAATCATGTTGCTTTTTGAGACAATCAGTTTAGGGTAGCGGTATTAGAAATGCTATAAGTAAACTCCATCTGTCAAGAGGAAAAATACATGAACACAGGAAAAAAACAAGGATGCTGTGACAGGATTTATAAAACACAATTCCTATTCCTCTAAATCAATAAAGAAAACAAATCATATTCTAGAGCTTCATTTTTGTGTAAAATGCTGGATCTCTTGGTGATACAACATAAGGCTTACCATTTGATGGGGGAAAGTTATCATTCATTGGGGTCATAATTGGTTGACTCGATTTACCCAAATTAAAATGACATAAAATTTATTAACCAACTTCTCTTAAGGTGGGCTAAATGAACAGATGACATGGTCACCTGTGGTTAAATCCAGTGCTGCATGTTCTTTCCCTATAGATCCCTGTGCACCCCTAAAATCTGCTCTAAAGGGTTTCTTAACTAGAGTACAGTCCGCTCTAGGCATACCGATCATAGCTGTGTTGATGGTGGAGTGGGTCCATGCTTTTACCTTTATCCCGGTGTCACAACTCATACTCACAACAACACAATTTTGTGTGCCATTTTCTGCAGAGAAATTCCAGCGTGCAGGCACTTGCTCACACAGAGGAGCTGCATAGGTCAGGGGGAAATGGCATGATCTCAAGAGTGGGCTCAGTCATTACGACTCCGCAGTTCCTTTCTAATGATGCCATTCTAGTGTGCAAGAGAGGAGGATGGCTTACTGCCTACAAAACACACAACAGGGAGATTGTGTCAGATGCAGTACTTTTATTCCTGGGGGGATGCAGGGGTACGCATACCCCTAAACATTTTGTGAATCTTTGTACTTTTGTCCATTTATGGCATTTATTTTCCCCAATCTGAACTATAAAATGGTGATTTTCTTGAGTCAAAATGAGAGTATCCCTAAACATATTTTTTTAAAGGAAAAAAAGCACTGGCCAGATGATTCAAATGTGTGGGTTCTGCTTTGCACATTAAATGTGACAAGCTTTTAGTACAATACTTGGCTACTTTTTCTTCCTACACATGGCAAGTTAGTTTAAAGGCTGCAGGAGCTGCCTCTTCTCTTTCTATTGGGTGGTATCCATCCAAATAATTACACAAGCAGAACAGCATTGGCTTCTACAAGAAGACTTCCTCCCCCACCCTCTGCGCCACCTGCATGTGCCCAGATCTGCTCTGGAGGCTCAGAGAAAACCTCAGAACAGATTTGAAGGGTCCACAGTGTGGAGGAGGAGAGTGGAGAAAACTCAGTGACCAAGCAGAAATTGTTCAGCTCATGCAAGGAGTTATTTAGGACTACTTTGGACGGAACCCACTGCACCAGGATAAAATATAATATGGTGAACTGGAGCTAAAAGTGAAATCAGAAGTGATAAGCCTTAGTCCCAGTGGTGGAGCTTCATGCTCTGGCACTGAGGGGCAGAGAGCAGGTGGGGGTGGGGCTGCTGTACATTCTGGGGGCGGGGGCGTTGCCTGTGGGGGCGAGACACCCAGCATGGGCAGGGGGGCAGGCACGATGGCACCCTGCTGTGATCATGCTGCCGGGGGCAGTGCGCTCCCCCCCCACTCCTCTTCCTCCGCCAGTGCTTAGTCCCTCAAGTTTGCTCAGCTGACTTCATTGAACTCATATGAAGATTGTTCACGTCAGCTTTCCTTTTCTTGGTTCTTTATGTTTTCGGCCTCTTTTTTTCCCCCCGTAAAGAAGTTGAAGGGTCAAAGACTTTCCTGATTTGAAATGTCTTCTTTGTTGATATAGAAATAACTGATAAACATGTGCAAAGATTTGGTGCTCCAAAATGTTGTTCACATCCATTTGCATGCTTCCTGGAACTGATAAAATACATTCTTACGGAACTTTGTAACAGGCTTCCCTACCTCTCTTGTTTTACAAGCAGCTCTTCACAACAAAGTGGGGAAGAGCAGAAGCTTGGCAAGAATCCCAGCACAGGATGGTGGAGGCACAGCAGCTAATGAGAGCCCTTGGTAATGTTTTAAACTTGCAGGTTAATCTTCAAGGAAGGAAGACTTACTTCTCTG